ACACACACACACACACACACACACACACACACACACACACACACACACACACAAAAGTTCTAGTCAGGGGTACATAGTAAAAGTCATGGACAGGTCACGGGTGTGAATTTTTGTTTACTGCCTCTTACCTGTCTGTGACTTTTACTAAAAATACCCGTGACTAGAACGTAGCCTTACCTATAACCCATTCTTCCAAATACAGAAATGTCAGCATTAGCACATACAGTATAGTATGCTTTTGTTTTCAAATATCTTGAATTTTCAAATCTATTAACTTTACCATATTCTATCTTATGAACAAGCTTTATGCATTTTATTATTCATTAATGTTACTTCCGTTTTAGTTACAACATGTCTTTAAAATTTTGATGTTAGTACTTTCATCTATGAATCTTATCTGGAAATCTGCTAAACAAGCAATCTTTCACACCCACAGTAGTGTCCTTGTCTACAATGAACATCCTTCAACAGAATTATCTGCCTTTCCTTTGGGCAGAAATATTTGCAAAACCCAAGTGACAACAAAAATCATTTTATGAAAAATATAAATTAAAACTTGAATTAACTACCACTGTGCAATAAAAAAAGATCTAAGGTCAACAGTATCTCCATTACTAACTTTCTTTAAGAGGCAGGAAAATCCAAAGGCCAGCCAGAAACCATCCTAATAACTTCAGAGCTTTATACTTTGCAAATCCTTTTTCATAATTCAGCCCAGTTTTGTATAATGAGATGGGATTTTCCAAAACTGAAACCTTTGCCGAAATGCTTACTGAGATTTATCATAAATCTCAGCAGACATGCTGGTATCCTTTCAATAACTCTGTATTTTAATAAGATGGAATGCAGCCAAGTATTGTATACATAAGCTGGGAAACATCAGTAACTGTCAGAATGTATTGTTCAGAGAATCAGGAAACTGATGTCTAAATATTCAGCTGAAGACTTGTTCTGGTGCTCAAAAGTGTATATGAGAGACTAAGTGTGTGAGAAGGAGAAATTTACAGTAATTTTTATAACATTATATTTATTATACTATTTACAAATTTTTCTATGGCACTTATTACTGTAATATGTGAACACCTAACAAACAAACACTGATATAGGAGTACTTGTGGCACCTTAGAGACTAACAAATTTATTATAGCATAAGCTTTCGTGGACTACAGCCCACTTCTTCGGATGCATATAGAGTGGAATAAATATTGAGGAGATATATATACACACATACAGAGGGCATAAACAGGTGGGAGTTGTCTTACCAACTCTGAGAGGCCAATTAAGTAAGAGAAAAAAAACTTTTGAAGTGATAATCAAGATAGCCCAGTACAGACAGTTTGATAAGAAGTGTGAGAATACTTACAAGGGGAGATAGATTCAAT